TATCCTCCAGGGGGTTTTTTTTGTCCAATTAATCTCAAAGTAAACATTACACTCTTCATGGCACATCTGCTTTGCATCTTTTCTTGGACGTTTCTTCATTATAAATTCAGTTGTGATGAAATTGTGTTTTCAATACACGACCAATGTGTTCACAGTACCCTCCTGTGAACGTGCAGCTTCCAGGTCATATCCAGCCTTGCCCAAGTTTAGTCCTGCCAAATGGCACAGTGAATTCTGGACCTTTTTCTTTCTGCTTACAGATTATCACTTGGCCTAGAGACATAAGAGATAATTAATAGGATATCCATGTATTTAGATTAATAAAAACTACTAAAGGAGATGAGAGAACACCTGCAGAACTGGAGTGAACTTCAGTGTGTCTTCTGCAGCTTCTGGGACATACCAAGTTTTAATAATGGGATTCGGAGCATTACTGTAGCAGAAGAATTCAGGGCAGTAGAAGCAAGTCAGACCAACCGCTGCCCGGGGCTGCTGTGGCTCGTGTCCCTCTGTATGAAGACAACACGAAGTAATTCAGATCGTTGGGCGAACTGAATACAACCCACCAGGTCTAAGAGTGTATCTGTCCTTTTAAATGACTGGGGCATTTTTGCTGATAGGTTTCCAGGAACTACTTAATTACAATGCATTCATTGATTAGTTTATTCATAAACAACAAACTGCAGTTTACTTCTCTTGGTCATTTGAGCAAATTTAAACATTAGCCTCAGTCTCTTGCTTTGTTCAGAGCAAATACGAGGTTGCAATTAATATCACTTAGACATCTATTAATGAACAAAAGACTAATGTATGTATATGTTCCTGTTAAGAGTATTTTAATGAAATGAAGGAATACAGCCCTGTCCACACACTCTGGTCAGCATCGGAAGAAGATATAGCAGACTCCCTAAAAGGTGTTGCCAGCTGCATCGACAAGTGTTGCAAGGCTACGGAGAAGCGAATGGCAGGGCTCTCGGAAAACCTGCTGCCGATTTTACATGAATATGTTCTCTACAGTGAAATTCTGATGGTAAGGTTTCCTTAAGGATTGCTTATGGCTGTATATAAAGTTTGGCTTAGTCCGGTGACAAACACTAGAAGAGAGTTTGCAACTGTTGAAAATGATTTTGCAGTCCCTCTATTTACTGTTGTTACTAAATGTGCACAGCATAGGATAGCTGTCCGTTAGCAGGGAATCCGGTTGGTCCCGTTTCCCTTGTTAATCGGGCAAGAGGCACCCCTTCCAGATGAGAAGAGCTTGATAGTTTTGCATGGCAGGCAGCCCTTGGTAGCTGGGCTAAAGCGTGTCTGGTTTTGCCATCTTCAGAGAGCTCCGCATTGTAGCAGAGAAGCGGGAACATAGAAAGGTTTGGGGAACAGCAGCTGAGAAGGACCTCCTCTGACACTGCTTGAAACATGAACTCACCGAGTAACAGATTGTGTGGGGGAGAAGGAATGGAGAGGTTTTTCCCTTTCTAGATGTTCCTAAACTACGTTTTCTTTTTCCAAACAGCAGGGAACTTCCAGCCCCTGTGCCGTTATATAAGCACGTGTTAGTCTTTGCCGTAAGCTGATGCTCTCAGTTCCCTTTATGTACGTATTTTTCTTACACTTGGAGAGACTGTAAAAAATCAGACTTCAGAATTGATAAACTCAGTGCTGATGGATATTCAACATAATTAAGTAACTGAATTCAGCATGTCATAATTCCAAATCTGCTTCCAGAAAGCCACAAAATGTGTACAAACCCCTCTTTGTCTAGGTTTTGAGCAACGCAAGCTGCAGTATCTGTTCTTGCCTCTCTGCTGGGAACCCAGCTCCTGCTGCAGTGGTTTCTGAGAAAGGGCTGAGAGTCTGTTACAGGCCATGGGTAGAGCATGACCCAAGTTAACTCGGCCTTTGCTGGCACTGTGCAGCGCGCTGCCAGTTTCTCAGTAAGGCTTAGCTACTGAGAGCTTAAGAATTACTGCTGCAATGACTGCTGTCTTTAAAACCAGCTTCACTGAAAGAGGGGCCGTACAAAATGACCTGTATCTCACCGGCCTCATTATTTACGTGTACGTGCAGGTAGATGGAGGTAGGTACTGCTTTGCTTAAAGGTCTGAGGAGATTACCATCCTAGCAATTGCAGGTCTTCTTCCTCTCCCCCACTTCCAAACTTATTTTTCAGAATTTCTAAGTCTGTTACCCATGAGCCATCCCAGCCTTCATGCTATTGAAGAGATGCTGCCTGCCCATTGCCTTCTAGTCTGCAGCCTGGCTCACCCTTTCTCAGGTGTTCTCTTTTGTCCAGAGCACAGAGAGGTTTCTGTGGTCAAACCCCAGAGTGGCTGCCTGGCTCTTCATGCGCACGTTACAAGTGGCTGTTGCCCGTTGCTTTTTTTAGTGCTTGCAGTGTTCTTGATACTGTCCTGGTTTCAGCTGAGGTTGAGCCGCGACGATGCAACTCTTGCAATGCAGCATTAGGCTGTAATTCCTGTCCGGCGGAAGATCTTCCTCCAATAGCTCATTCCTGTTCTACAACTGTTCTTTTCCTTTCATTCGCCATGGATTTTTATTTTACCTACAGTTTACTTCCCTCTCGCAGCTTGGAGAAGGAACTACTAGTCAGAATAAAAACACAATAGGGGAAGTCACACAGTAGTAAAACCTGCTTTCAGAGGTGTGTTTAACCCCTCATCACAGGGACCTTTGTGCGGTGCCGCCAAGATCATGCGCAGATGTGCAGAAGGCGGTGTGGTCAATACAATACAATCCTTGTATTTTCCAGTCTTGGGAGTTCAGCCTTGAACTGGGGAAAGAGATGAATTCATAGCTAAAATATTTACATCTGGACTGGCTCCTTCCTAACTGACTCACAGAACAAATCTGGGGAGTGCAGAGTACTGCTGCGCCTCAGGGTACAAATTGCAGCAATAAATTGGTTATGGGTCCACATACAATTATTTGAGGGTTTTGTGGCAGGCTACCATTAAATATTGCACCAAAAAATTGTAAACATATAATAATATGTTTTAAAAACACAGTCCCTCTGTTTGCCATTAGAAGTCAGCACTTGTCTATGGTTGTAGCACATTAATATTAAAATCATTGGTTTTATCTTGTAATTTACGGAGTATTTGTGATGAATTTTACAAATAGCCATTAAAACAGTTTTAAAAGAGGCAAAAGAAATAGTAAAAAAGAGAAAGCATTTGTAATATGAAGGAAAGCTGTTCCAGACATATTTGTTTTGCTTCTATGCTTACAGCTAAACATTTTCTGTATTTGTCTAACCAAAAGATATTCTGAGCTATTCAAACATAGATTTATGAGCATTAGTATGTATTGCTAATCTATTACTCAGAATTGTCCGAAGTCAGGTTTACCAATTTTTCTAGTGAGTACCTGTTCAAAGAGAAACGTTGAAAAATTATTTGAAAATTAACCTCCTAAATTATTCTATTGTATTTGTTGAAGTGACAAGATTCCAAAGAGAACTCAGTCAAATAAGACAGCTAGAGAAGGTAAAGCTACTTGTGCCCTGTGCTGTTTCAACATGCTCTATGCTAGAGGTGAATACTGAAAATCTCTTTAGTATATGCAGAAGAAGCAGTAAAACCAGTTGTGGCAAGGTAATGTAAAAGCAGGTTTTGAGATTTGTAATTATATATGTCCTGCTTCTGATTTTCTTTTTTTAAAAGGACTAAAGCCTTGCAACATGTCTGCGGGATAAGCACACCGGAGTGTGCTTTTACAGATAGGAAACTAAGGCAAAGAGAAATTTGTAAGGCTTCCTCAAGGTCACAGAGCAAATGAGCATCAGAAATGGAAATTTAATCTATAATGCCATTCCTGTTTTGTAGTTTAACAAGTAACGTTCCTTCCCCTTTCTAATTATTTTTTGACATTATGCTAAAAATCCAATACCTGATAAGACAGTATTAAAGGAGGAAATAATTACCTATGCTGAAAATAAGCACATATATCAATATTAGAACATCTATTATTTTTATGATAATTTTATCTGATTTTACTGAACTATGCTTGGCACTTACAAAATAATATTGAAAGTTACAAGTCGCAATTTCAATAATGCCTGGTATACCATTTTTAGTCATTTATTCTACTTGATATTGTAACTTTTACTCAAAGAAGATACTTTTGTTCATGAGATGTGGCAAACTCATGTTGCTGTTTTCAAATATGAACATATAGTAAGTTTAGCTGATACTAAGTAAACTGCTGATGCAGTTTTTCTCATACAACTAGCAATGATACTGCTGCGTATGGCAGATTCTTGCGGCACTGATATTGGATTTACTACGGTTCATGAAAAACACATAAGATAAAATACAGGTATTGAAAAATAATCTTCGCTACATTATTTTAAGATTTTTTTTGAGGAAAGTACATGTATCATGTCGAAATTATTACATGGCATCATTCTGTGATCTTGCTGAATTTATTAAATAGCCAAGTTGTTTGATGGTTTTCTGAATGGATGGCTAAAATTTGGTGTGGTTTACTTCTTTTTTTTTTTCTCTTCTATATTAAGGGTGTTTTGAAAAGGAGAGACCAAATTCAAGGCGAGCTCGACTCCAAAGTTGATGCTTTAGCCAATAAAAAGGCAGAAAAGGACCTGGTGAGTATGTCCAAGAAAGGTGAAATCTTCCAGGCCTTATTCTAACTGCAAAAGATGATCCCCTGAAGAAAGCGTGTCCTCTGAAGCCATGCTTTCTCTATAACGGTGTCTCTATGATTCTCATAGTTACTCTGAAAAGGTTTGGTCTTTGTAGCTATGTGTGCCAGGCAAAGGCAATCACGAGATAGATGCAAAACTTCAGTAGATAGGCTGCTGGAGCAAAGGACTAGTAATAGGAGGCGACCACTGTGCTTTGTTGACACAGACTGTACCGCGGCTTATTATTAGCATTTCTGTTTACTTCCACACCGGGAATTAGAAGAAAGTAAGCCTTGCTGCACTGCTCTTGTAGCTGCTGCTCCATTGATGTAGGAGAGGGAGAGGAGGTGGTCAGAATGAGCAAAGCCGTTCATTAAACTTATTTAAAATACAAAGTTCTGGGTTCTGTTCTTCCAGGTTTCTGTCTTATCTGGTTGGGCCCAGGGATATTTTTTTACTTCCAGCGTGACGACACCATTCATACTAGTGAAGTTGGAGCGTAACTGGTAGCCCAAGGGCGTAGGCGTGCCCAAACCCATCAGCGAGGCTCAGCGGGCCCATTAAAAGGAACTTCTGGGATGGGCATTGGCATTTCCAAAATTTTCGATTGTTTAACGCTCCAGCCTAAATAATGTCCTTTTAGCACAGTGTTAACACAAAGTGTTATACACTGTAAATAATATATTAAAATGACTAAATAATAATCACTGTAACTTTTTAGTACATCAAAGGAGAAAGTCCTTGACATTTCAGATACTTTTTATTAGGGTTGTGGTAATTAGCTTTCATGTAAAGATGAGCTGTTTAGATAGTTTTTGGCACTTGAAATGCATATTTTTATTTGATTTCTTGTCACTGAGCTGAATAAATAAGAATATATTATCACTGTCTGATATCTACGATGGCTGTGGTATATTTTGTAGCAATTCGCCTCTGTGTACCGCAGTGGGACAGTAAGTAAATACCTCAGAATATTGTTTTTTCCTGAAGTAGAAATTCTGTTTACTTATACTGTCCTCTCATTTCCCTGCCTTCATGTTCTCTAATCTGTTGTTGTTTCTCTACTTCCTCTGCCGCTTCTCCTGTCCTTTGTCCTTAGTTTACGTGTAAAGTTTGAAGCTGTTATAAAATGCACGGAGGACGGTAAGTTGGAGAAGCCCCCTAGGCCGGGAGTTGGGGTAGCAATGGCAGGTCCTAGTCCTCCGCTGGCGGCAGGCCACCGTATTCCCATGCCGCCTTGTGAGGGCACTGGCAGACCCGCTGCAGGCTCCTCCTGTAGCCTGCCCGTGTCCCCCGCGCCCGCAGCCATGGGTGCCCCGCGTGCCGGCAGCACGCATTAGTTGCACTGCGTGTAAAAGCGCGGTATATATTAAGAATGATCCTTATGGGTCCCTTCCAACTTGAGATATTCTATGACTCTATGATGCTAAGAATTTATTCTGACAGAAGGGAGTGTTATACGTCATTGCGTGAGTTATTTGTAGGCAGCTAGCTATATCAACTTTTCAACGTTGCGTCCCTTTTAAGCAGTACTTCCCATTTGTATGGTTGGTTGGCAGCCTGCTAAAAACAGTTGCATTTGCGCAGAGCGATTCAGCGATGAATTGCAATTTCATACAGCTTGTTTAGCAGCTAGTCTTAACTGCTGTCCACCGTAGGGAAGGCAACATTGCTGGGCAGGACATGGTCTTTTCAGAACGTATTTCTGTTATAATCTGATGGAGTCCTCAGACAAGGTGCATGCACTCTCTTTTCCTGAACTGTTACAGAAAAAAAGGAATATTTTTCCCTTTAGCATAGTATTGATCACACCATGTTGATTTGATATTGACAATGGTTTACTCCATAATGAGATGTTTGTACTTGCTTCCAGTAAAGTTTTGAGATCAGTTTGCACAACCTCGTCTTTTTTCACCATTTCTGTGTTTCCACAACTGTGTTTACAGTTTTGGTAAAAGCCTTTAGACAGTGTGATTACCCAGGTGTTCAGATCTTTGCTTTATCTTTCCAACCCCTCTATTTCTTACTTATTTCAAAAAATGCTGTTTCTGAGAGCCTGATTCTCCTTGCAGTCTCACGAGAGCAGTGAAACAGATGTCTGTTAGTCTAATCTGATCATGAAATCCTGTGTTCTCTAATTGAGTGGCAGCTGTATCCTGAAGACTTTTCTTAATTAGAAGTTGAAGGCTTTTTCTATTAATGGTAGTTTGGCCACAGAGAATGGTGTACTGCTATTTTTAACCATTCAAGTAACTTCTAACTGTTTTCTTAACCAGTTTTTTACTGTGTTTTAATTTTTATTCTGTGTTGAGATATTTTGCTGACACTTCTAACCAGGCTGATTTCAGAATAAATGGTGGTCATAACACGGGTACTGTTACTGGAATTGGTGTCAAACACTGAGTTTGGCTGTATTTGCACATTTCTATTCCTAAGCAGAACTCATGTAGCTTCTAATGATCTCATAGATGTCAGATTGAACTTGTCAGTGCAATCTAGTAGCCAGAAATTCTGCTGACAATGAGTGGCATGAACTCTAATCTCATTTGAAGTACATTTCCACCATAGATAAGGAATCTCAGACTGTCATTAGAGCTGATAAAAGGCTGTGAGATCTTTAGCATTGGTCACGGCAAACATTAAATGATTTAACAAACAGGAGGTTATACAGCAGGAGAATACAAAACATCCCCAAGGTCAGTGCAGCTGAAATAGGCTAGAATTGCAAATTAAACTTTACGAGATGTCAGGCTCATTGGCTGGGAAAAAATGTTTTCTTGAGCTGTGCTTCTGCCACCGGGCTTTTAGAAAGCTGCTTGTGGTGCTGCTTAAAAAGCCAAAACCTTGTCTCCCACTCCAAAATGTAGTCCACAAAGAAGGCAGTTGTTCAGGGTATGGAAGGTTTGAAGACTGTGATTCTGGATGCAGGCTCTGACAGAGATATTTGGGAGGACTTTGGTGTCCTCCTGCTTATCTAGACCTTTCTTACTTCCAGAACTCTGGCTGTAAAGATGGAGTTTGTGGCTCCGTTGCTTCCATGCTCCATTCCGAAGGCATACACAGCAATGCTAGTGCATCCCTCTGTGGTTTGGGAGTTTTTAACAGTTTTGGTACCGCCACTAGCGCTAATAGTAATTCTGACAAAAGGTTGGTATAATGTGCTCTGACAGAACCAGATAAGCATTAAATGCTAACTTAAGGATTCTAGTGTTCAGGCTTGAAACTAAGTAGTAAAGAGATGAAATGATGAATCTATCACATTCTGAATATATCTTATGTTTTAGCTCCAGGCTAAAAAGGGTTAGGATAACCAAGCTGTAGGATTAATTCATGTAGCAGATAGAAATTCGTGCTATTTTGCATATTGAGATAGTGAATGCTGTGTCACTTACTAGGTAATTTGGCTACTGGGCCAAGTCTCTTCAGCTACAGGTCGCGCTGTTCACGTCTGGTAGTGCTCTGCCCTAGCAGTGTCTGGCTCCCACCTTCCTGTCCCGTGGTCCGGTGTCTGGTTAGCACGGCGCTGTCCTTCTCTGGGGATCACTGACGTGAGATTTAATTTATCACGCTGGCTGCCTCAGTGAGATCAATCTAAGAAAATGGATTCAGAATCATACTTAATTTGCAGGATAAATTGTAACAATATACACCTTGTAAATGAGGAGCACACTAGGTAGAAGTTTTTGTCGAGACCAAGCCATTTTTCTTTGATTCCTGCTGTCATGGCAGCTGCAGAGGGTGGCATTTATGTTTCTTTTCAGTTGTGACAAAGTCGATCTTAAACCTCTCTACTTGAGATGATGAAGTGTGGCGTAATGCTGTCTTTAGACCTTAAGTCCAACCCTTGCCTTGATACAACACACAGTTTCTTTTGGGCTTTAGAGGGTGATGTTTGAACCGCATATCCAGGCAGGGACGTAGAACAGAGTCTGCCTGTCCGCATCGCGTTGTGACTACACCATGGAAGAAATTCGTAGTTCCTAGAAAAGTCAAGACAAAAACAAACTGTAAAATAAATGTCTTAAAGATGTGAAGAATGAGATAAGGGGAAGCTGCTGCAGCCAGGACTTCTAAGTCGGCGAAGTTCTTTACGTGTGTAGCCTAGCTCATTCCCATATAGGGATTTTTTTCTTGCAAAAGCAGAAAATGGATTCAACTGCCTTTCCTACTCTAAATCATCTAAAAATATTCAGTTTTCAGTATTCTGTATGCATTCATTTTTGGTATTTGAAGGAAAGGCAATTAATTTGGGACATGCCCAAGACACCGAATCCAGCTGCCTGTAATTCCTTTAAAGGTAATTTCCCCACATTTAAACTTTGGATTAACCTTTTCATATTGAATACAGTGTTGGTAGTTGGAATTACCCTTGTCCATAGTTTGATTACTGGTCTGGCTAGATAATTGAACATGGGCTTTTCAGTAAAGTAGAAATAATATTTTGCATTTTGTTCTTGAGTAATAACCCGTATTTCGTTCATCTAGAAGTGTGGCAAGGAAAATCAGTGTAGAAATCAAGTCTAACTAAAAATGTTTATGCATCTGTGTATCGTGGAATGTGGAGAAAATCCATTCAGATGAAATTTTCAGTTTTACTAGCTAAGGAGTTTTTGGCTACTTTAAGAGCTGAAGGATTCTAGTATGTCAAACTGAGTTGGGATCCGTGGTTTGTGAATTAAGCGTTGGGCTCAGTTTCTGTGACCATTTCAGCCAGTGCTGCTTAGTTAATTTCTGATGGCGGCAGCACTGCCGGCTGTTGCACTGGAACGCTGTCCTCCCTGCATGGTTCAAGCTGGAAAGCCAAGACTTTGCACATCCTGCTCTGAATTTTGACATTTCTGCATTCTGCCAAGAGCCTAAGCATTCCTTGGAAGTCCTGGAAGTTAATCCTGGAATCCTGAAGTTCATATCAATGAAAGCACCGGCTCTGCAGAGAGCACGAGGAGCTATCCAACTTTACAGGGGTGTTGTATGAGGAAAAAAACAATTTGCCTGACAGCAGAATACAAGGAAGGAGAGGAAGGTGTATGGGACCTGAGTTGCAATGGAAACAATACAAGGAGGTTAACTTTTCCTGCTCGATGTCCCTCACTGGTGGTGTTTCTGCCTGACCTCCCTCCCGCTGCAGGCAGTCGCTGTGCAGTCCCAGCAGATGAATTTGCACTGGAGCCGCAGAAGACGTACCTCCTTCTGTGACTGGGTGCCAGCCAGAACCGACACAGCTGATTAGTAAATGACAATAGGTGACAAAATTATTGAGAGGACTAGAAGACTCATTAAAGAGAGGGCCTTTGTCCACTTACTCATTCCCATTAGCTGAAAAGTCACTTTGTGCATCTACAGTAACTAGAAGAAAATAATGTCTGTAGAGTAGCCCTCAAGGTTTTTTGATCCTAGATTGCAGTTTCTTCTCTGCAGAAGTCCTCTGGTTTAATTTCTTTCTCTGCTTCTGTATTTCTCTCTCTCTCACGTGGTCACGCAGAGGTTAGTTCCACAAGAAAAGATTGCCAGGTGACAGGCAAGAAATCAGAAAGTTTGTGCTTTTGAT